CCCCCGTATCGCCGAACCAGTTAGGCAGGTCCAGGACACGGTACGGCTCCGCCCCCACCACTACTTCAATCCGCCACTCAGCTAGGGTTTGGACCAAAAGGTCCTGTGCCCCGGCCGAGTGGTTGATGTTGGCCTGCAGAAACGGACCCTAGAAACGGTGCCTTGTGTGCCGTATCTACAGCTGCCTCCACAGTTGCTCCCGCGTTGCTGGGGCCCGCTACCCCAGTGGACGATCCCGCCGGGCGCTGCTTCGCGTGCACCGTCGTCGCCGCCGACTTTTCCCCTCCCTTCTTCGGGAGACCGAAGTGCATCCTCTGGTCCCCATCCTGTGCCCCGCGGGCCGCCCTGAGTAGTGTGTAGTGACAGAGGGGGCACCGCGGAGGGGCCGTGCAGCCGCTGGCTCGATGGTCCGGACCGCCGCAGTTAAAACAGCGATCCGAACGATCGACTCCACAGGAACATCACTGCCTGACATGACCAGCCTCCAGGCAGCGGTAACACGGAGCCGCCAGAGCCTCGACCCGTGGTGAGGACCAGCCGGCCCTCAGTCTCCCCGCACCGACCGCCTTGTTGGCCGAGGTGAGAGGGCACCTCACCCAAACCCTGCCCAGGCCGCGGGGTGGGGCGCGAATTTCCCCCACCTTTACCTCCGCCGCGGTGCAGCCGCCGCTGCCACTTCCTCACGGGTGACCGAATCGTCCAACCCCACAAGGCGGATCTCCGCCATCTTCACGGGGCACGCGATTCTTATCTCCTCTGACCCCCGGAACACGGTTTGAAGGCGACTCGCCAAACCAGCCCTCCGGTGGCTGTGCGCCTGGGCCGGAGATTGGTGATGCCGATCTCCGCAAGGTCGACCTCCTGCCTGGCCATTGTGTCGCAGCAGGTGGTCTTCCAGCCGCTTGTATCTCCAAGGTCGAGTCGTAGCCACAAGCCGCGAGTCTAGTGTACCGTCCGAAACGCGAAGTAAATGTAAAACAAGACCTCTAGTGTGAATGACCAGCGAGTGATACGAGAACGAACGAGTGACGCACAACACCTGAAGTCAGCTATGTAACTACAGAGATAGAATTGAAGACCCATATATGTGTATCTACAATTACTGAACGCCCCATTCTATATCCTATACTACCCGCGAGGAAGGTGAAGGTGCGCTTTAGCGTTTTAATCGGCAGAACCCAAGAAACGTAGTAACAGTAACATAACCACCCTTAAGGTGGGACGTAATAGTCGCCTTGCACCCCCCGGCCTTACCCTTTCCCCCGATCGGGGGAGGAGTCGCCTCTGCCGTCGTCCTCTTCCCCGTCTTCTTCGCAGGTGGCGGAGGGGGGGCCGTCACCCCATCTTTCTTCCTCGCCTCCGCCTTCTTGGCCTTGCGGCCCACTACTCTTGCCCACGTCTCGGTCTCCCTGCGGTGATCCTCCTGGATCTTCTCCATCCTAGCGGAGACGAAGGAGGAGGCCGCAGGTTGGACAGGCGCTCCGGCCCCCGCCGTCAGCGCCTCTCTCTTCTGTGGCTCGGCAGCTCCTTGCGCCGTATGGGGCAAGGTTCTTGCCGCGTGTCTCTTGGCATCGTGCCAGCTCCCCGGCGAACTCTTGCCTGAGACCCGCTACACTCTACGCAATGAGGGCAGTGATGCCCTCCATGAACACGGCGATCTCAGGGACCCCGATCTTTTCGGGCGTGGCTGGTGCCGCACCATCGGGGGGGGCGGCCCCAGCCCGCACCATCGCTCCCCAGGGGCGGGAGGGGCGGCGGCGGCATCGGCGAGGGCTCCTCCATCTCCTCCAATGTATCCACCCTGCGGCAGCTCCTCTTCGGCACGGCCTCCTCTTCCAACAGGGACGCCGCACAGTGGGCCGGATTGGAGAAGTATGGGACATTTGTATATAACTCTTGGACTACAAAAGATATCGGAATGAAATCTGATTTAAAAAATGTTAAAAAATAATCCGTATTAAACGAAATACAATATAAATGGTACGTTTTATGTTTAGCAGTTATTTTTTTAATTTCTTAGATTGAATGGTATTAAACAAATTTGAAAAACTGTTTATTTCATATTTTATCAATATCTAATATTATATGTATATTATACATATATATGTGTGTGTGTGTATATATGTATATATATCATTAAATATAAGAAAATAACTTATTGAAAAGTGTAAAAATATTATAATAATTATATGGGGTTACTTACATGGTGATTGATAAATGATAAACGCTTTACTCGTTTATAAGTTCTTTAGCTTCAGGATCTAGTATTTCATGGTTCTTGTTGGAAGATTTTAGTCTTATTGTTGACATATATGGAACTGATGTTAAAAGTAGCCTATAGAATGTATCTTCATTAGTAGCGGTTCTTGAAATTTTTCTGCTATTTTTTGTTCTGTATTTTTTGAAATCCTTGTGCCTCGTCTCTTGTGCCTCTTCTGAAAGTTGGCCGATAGGAAGTAGAGCATGTTGTATTATATCTGCCCCATGTATCAGGAGTTTATGGACGGATGCTGGCATATAATACCATCCGTAATTTTTTATAAAATGTTTCGCAGTGTCCAGAGTATATTTTTGAAATCTATTGGCATTTATTTCGTATGGCAAAGAAATTACTTGCAATATAATATGAAAGCGTTTAATCAATGTTCTGTCAATATCTGTTATTTCTGCAGAAATTTCGTCATTTTTAAAAAATCGTCTTGCAGTGTTGCCATCATTTGAAGACCCCCATCCTTGCTTGACAAAGTCTACAAGTAGCCCCAATTTGTCCTTAAATTGTTTTTGAATATGTTGCTTTCTTTCATACTGGATTTTCTTTAGTTCAGGTGTATTTGCTGTCCACTTTTTGAAGGGCATATTATAAGATATATGCAGTAAGCATTCAAAACACCGAATCCATGCGTGTAGAGAAGAAATGCCGAAGGAGAAATTATCACTATTACAAGCTTTAGAATTCACAAGTTCTAAGTTGTTCATCTCTGTTGGTTTTGCGTTGCAAATGCAGCAACGCTTTGCAGAAGTTGTATGTGTTATAGTGTTGCATACTTTATTGTCCACCATTGCTAAAATCATGGAATACTCTATTTGCACATTATTAATTTTTGTTGGGTTCAAATGTTCTATTTCATTCTTGATTCGATTTATTTCTTCTTCTATAACTTCCGTAGATTCTTTAATAAAATGGAATTTTATTGGCCGGCAAAACCAAGGGGACGATGGTCTTGGATTTTTTCATAAAATATCACAATTTGATTTTTTGGAAAGTCTTAACGGTACGAAACTTGAAACAAATGCGTTATCGTCATTTATTAAATTGGACTCTGTGTGGAGTATTTGCTTATATCTCTGGTGTCCTGAGCTTCCATCACATCCCCACTTGCAAGTAAGAATTAATTCTGAATTATCCTCTAATCTGTTTATACTTTTCAATATGTGTGAAGTTGTATGATCTAAACCTTAGAGTCTGACTTTGGCATAAGTTTCTGTTATTTCTATTGTGTTTTTTGGAGGATAACAATTACGTTTTTCTTGCGATACTTTGAAATATGAGGGCCATTGGTTGCTTTTACATCTGATTGCCTCGTTTCTAATTGCAATATATTGGAACTTAGAAAGTTCGGCTATGTTAAATATGTTTAATGCTTCTTCAGTTGTAATTGTTTTTCTTTTTGATACGCTCTTTTTCTTCAGAAAAGCTTCAATACTTTCACTGTATTCATTATCATGAAGATACTGAAGAAAGCGCAACTTCTGATGCATTCCACAGTTTTTAAAGCTTAGCTTTGTTGCATACAATAATTCCTGTAAGGAAAAGTTATCCACTAAAGATCGAGCTCTTCTTAACCGTTCCCTGCGACTGCATTGAAGAAATGATTTTTTCCCCTTATGGATATGTACAAGTGTAGATGTTGGTTTTGTTACAATTGATCTTCGATTGCCTGTTGATGGCATTTCTGTTAATATTAAATTGTGGTAAATAAAATTTAACTCTAACCATTCTTGATTGCGCTTAAAAAATAAAGTTTCTGTGTAGCGAGCTTGAACCCATCTCTGTTTTAACTTCCAAGTAAGTTTTTTCAAACTTGTTTTCAATTCTTTTAAACTTTCCGACGAAACATCAATTTTTCCACTAATTACTTCGTATAAAAATATGTAATCACCTATATCTTTTGAAGCATTTCTTAATACGAAGTAAAGGTCCTTATTTTTACGAAAAGCCTCCATTTTTATCCGACTTCGAAAAGGAGGAGGGTACTCAATTCGATGTGTATGTATTTTTTTTTTTTTTTATTATCCGACTTCGAAAAGGAGGAGTATACTCAATTCGACGTGTATGTATGTTTTTTTTTTTTATAAAATAATAAATGTAAATAGTACAATAACTAAAGTTAACAGAACAACAGAACGAAAATGGAACTTAACTATATATTATTCACTAAACACACCAGAGTACATATAACACACTATAAATACACTAAACCCTATATAATAAAGTCAACACATACTGATAATACTAACTGATAAATGAAATCTAAACCAATAAAAACAGAACAGAAATAAACGCTTTAAATATATCGCTGTGCTCTCTCGAACGGTTTTGGCTGAACTGAATGCAGTCAAAAAGTCGCATAAACATAAAGAAATCGCATAAACATTCTAAATATTCAATTTCTTAGAAGAACCTCTCAACAATAGCATAAACATACAATGTCTTCAAGGAATCTCTTAAGTCCTCGCACGCACGTAAAGTGATTTAACACTGACGGCTTTAACACTAGGTTTACGGACGTTTCTTATATACCTAACTGTACGAGCACCCGTCAAATTGACGGGTAGATGAAAGTACGTATTTACTTTAAAAAATCAATTTATTGAAACTAAGTCTGAGTTGAACAATATAAGGCCTCACGTATAAATAAATTATTATTAAGTAGAAACCTTTTTTTTTAAGTTATCATGGAAATGTTAACAATAATATAAACGGTACAGGGTAATCATTTTTATCGAGCACATTTTTTACAAATGTACTGAATTTCGCTCGTGCATTTTCCGCATACGATCTTTTTGTAATACATACAGCAATTACTGCTTTTATTTTTATTACAATAGCCCACTTGGCAACTTCTTCGGACTCCTGACGTTGAAGGTGACAGAACTGAAACGTCTGAACTTTGATGAATGTTTTCCTTGTTTTCTCCAGCTAATTCCTCGGCTAAACAAAATATAAACTCCTTTCTGGATATTTTCGATTCGGTACACTCTTTATATAATATCCACGCGTTTATCGCTGCCAAATCTAAAATATTATAAAAAATTTGCAGGGGCCATCGAAAAAACCCCGCTTTCACACTATATTTGCGTGCCATCTGGTCCGCGACATCGACACCAAACTTTGTTTTATTATAAACAGTAATAGTTTCTGGAACACATTTACTATTGTCTTCTATTTGTATATTTCTATGTTTGGTGCTTAGAAGGAGGACTTTTACTTTAGGTTTACTTTTATACACAGTAAGCGTGCAGTCTTCTGATTTATATAAATTTGAGAAAAACAACGTCATCTTGTCCTTTGTTTCTTTCGCTGGTTTTGGCAGTTCCCTTTTGTTCGACCGGATGGTCTCAACCAAAGTTGTCTTTAGTGCAAGCAATTTTTTAGCTAGCGGGATGCTTGTAAAGAAATTGTCTGTCGTTATATTTCTACCTTGTTGTAAATATGGTTCGGCTAATTTTAATGTTACAAACTGGCCCAACGAATTTGAGCATCGCGTTTCATCTTTCCCCATATAAGGGAAAGCATTCAAAATATATTTTGATTGAACGTCAACTGCTAACCAAAACTTAATGCCAAATTTATGAGGCTTATTTGGCATATATTGCGTAAACCTGCAACGGGCTTTCGTTGGAAATAACTGTTCATCTACTGTGATATTTTGATGTGGCTTATAACAAGCCTGGTTGTTACTTATAAATCTGTTCCATGGTTCAGATATCAGCGCAAATTTATCTGTTTGCAACCTTTCGGATCGTTGGCTTCTTTTGTCAAAGCGTATAAATCTCAGAATTTCTATAAATCTATCTCTGCGCATTGTGTCTCGGAAGAAAGGAGGTCCCCATTTTTTCGACCATAGATTTTCTTGACCTTTCAATGCTCTTGTTTCATACGCGCCCTGGGCATATAGTATTGCTAGAAAACTACGTAATTCAGAAACTGTGATTGTCCAGTCTTTTTTCAAAACTCGACGTGCCCCGGTTTTGGTACAGTCTTTTATGTGTTTCATAATGTGAGTGTCAATTATCAATTCAAAAGCACTAGTTACACAACCCGACATAATATTTCTTTTTACGTAACCAGTTGGCCCTGCGATATCCTTGAATATAAAATGAGCGGGCGGCCTACCCCTAGATTTTCCTGTTTTCAGTTTCACCCACTGTCCCGTCAGCTGCAATTTCAATTTCTTCCATTACATCTCGGGATGTACTTGGAATACTCGTCCTCTCATTCTCGGTGTCAGAACTAGAAATATTTTGCATCCTTTTCTTGTTACGACGCATTTTGAAGAAGTTTTCCTCTTCACTATCCGAAGATCCTTCCATTTCTCCAGTTTCAGTGGATTCAGAATATTCACTGTAATCTTCACTTTCACATAATTCATATTGATCTTCGGAGGTACCCTCAGAACAATCGTCATTGATGCTGATAATTTTGGTCAATTTCTTATTATATCTCCTGTTTTTACTCATGATTGCTAGACAAGGGTGATCGGCGAAAGTAAAAAAATACTGTGCCCAAATTCTATTACCCTATTGTAAATACCTACAATATGCGGAGACTACAATAACCGAAACTTTTGCACACTGTCTTCGAAAAATGTTCTTACCACTGTCACTGCAGCAACTATATTGAAGATCGTCTCGTGCCTTAGAGATATCTTTGGAGATCGTTACAGACCGATCTTCGCGGCATACGAAACTCAAAGCATACCGCAGCCTAACGTCGGCTATCGCCGGATGTAAAAATTGCTTGTGTGCATTGTTATGTGTGCACTAACACATCAACCGATAATCTTTTCAATACGACATTTAGTCTGCTGCAGTTTCGAATGACGCGAGGATTACTCTGATAAGCGATTTCGTTCAATGCGAAGTAACATGACACCCGGGCCATACAATTCGCTTTATGTCATATTATTGAGGCGCTATTGAGATAATGAGTTGGGGGCACCTTAGACTTTTCTTTCACTCTTATATTTACTATTAGAGGAATAATTTTACAAACGAAGCAAATATATTAGGTTTGTTTACATATTCAGCTAACCCGTCAATTTGACGGGTTTCGTAGAGATAGGTATACCACATACAAATTTCAAAATTTAGAAAGCTTAGGAAAATAATAATTATGTGTATCAATTCTTTTAATGAAATTATAAATTTACGATGCATAGTGGTTAAGATTAATGCTATGGTTTTTTGAGTATTTCATTTCAAAGTTTGAAATCCGTCAAAGTGACGTAAACCTAGTGTTAAATAGTAATAATTTGAAAAATGGGACGAGGTGCGAACTGATTTCTGCGTGGTTGTATAGAGGAAGATGTACTGAAAACATTCCAATTTCTTTCGATCCGGGACTTTTTGGGACTCAAAAGATATCTCTTCTCAATTGCCAAAGATTTAAAATATTTTCTTTATCAGGTTCAATAATATTTTTTTAATATTTTATAGACAATAATTATTAATGGCATGAGTATTTCTTATCTTGAAAGGATGTTCTTTTTTGCAGAAAAAAATAGAAAGCTAATATTGAGCAGGTTGCTCAGGACATTTCGTAGAAGATGAACACATTTTTCTAGTAAAACATGCTATTTTAAAAAAATCCAGTTTCAAGTGTTAGGATTTGTCTGCAATTTTTATTAAATTTCATTAATTTATTCATTTTCGAGGTCCACAGACATTTAGGAAACAATATAAATTCAATAAATATAGATGTACGAAAGTTGATTTTTTCGTAAAATGTCCCATACTTCTCCAATCCGGCCCACTGTGCGCCGGTCGCGACGCCTTTCTGGTGCCCGAGGTGGCTAGGGCCTCTACCGCCGCGACTCTACCGCGCAGCGCCTCCAGCTCCCATCGCAGCGTCGCGATTTCCTCTCCTTGGGACACTATTTTGTCGTCCCGGAGCTTCAGCTGGGCCCTGAGCTCTTCCACCTCGTGGTCGTCACGATCCCGTTGGGCCATCAGGCCCAGCTCGCCTACAACCACTTCCAGGTCGCGGGATGCCTCCCTGAGGGAACGGACAAACGTGCCCTTCAAGTTCCTCGAGCACCCCGCAACCATTTGTACCTTTTCGGCGCACTCCATAGCGCGCTACGTGGCCTGGCGAGGGGTGGTGGCGCACCTCCCGCGCAATCTCCTCCATGTCCCTCAACCGCAAGGACGCTCGTCTTGGCTGGCGGGGGGCCACGTCGCCGTCCAGCAGCACTCTGGTCGCCTGGAGTTCCAATTCTTCCCACTGCAGCCGCAGGTATTGCTTCTTCTTCTCGGCAAGGGCCACGTAATTCCCCGAAATGGGGGGTCGTCCCTTCCTCGCCGCAGCCCTGGTGTTGGGGGTCGTGGGTGGCAGCGAGAAAACCGACCCGTCTGATTCCTCCTCGCTGTCCTCTACCCAGCGCCAGAATCCTCTGTTCGAGGCAGCTGCTGCCCCAGGAGCTTCCAGTCGACCAAGGTCGCGCCCTCCTGCTTCGTTGGGGAGCCGCGAAGCCGCTGGGTCCCGGCTGCGCCGCTTCCTCATCCCTCGTTGTCCTAAGAGTGTCCCTTTCCCTTGCCTGGTTTGTCGTATTTTCGTCCCGTCCTGAATTGTTTGTAGAATTTGTAGAATTTTTCATGTTCGTCCCACGAGAAGGTCGGAACCTAGGTCCACCCAGGCAGAGCCGCCTTACCTGGGTAAGGCAGATACCCCCAGGGGGTCGCCAGGTACCCCGGGGTTGGTCGCTAGCGACTGGTGCACCCACCAGCCACCCCTGGCGCTAACTCCAGGGGCACCCTCCTCACCGCGTGCCGCAGCTTGGGGCTAGGAATTTTTGAAGAGGTTGTCATCCTCGCAGGCGGCCGGTTGAGGCAAGCCTCCCGTTCCAGCGAAACGTGACCACTGGATTACGATATAGTTGCTAGAGCACTCCGGGTTTGCTACCCGCACCAGGCCGTCATGCAGCCTGGCCCCTGAAGAACTCAAAGACGCCGCTGCAACCTTCATTGCCTCTCAGCCCTGATCCTTACCGGCATGGTAGTACCTGGGGAGGGGCAGGAGGTAGTGTGGGATTTCTACCCACTAAAACCTCCACGGTGGCCTGCACTGGGGCTATGGGTAGGGCCCCGGGATCTCTAACGAACACCCCGGGACCCTCCCGCCCCTGGCGCGACTAGCGCCCACCTCGGGGGAGGGTCTAACCTTTGACCCTCCCCCATGTGCCATCACCGCCGACATCGGGGGCCGCGTGCAATGGAGACCGAGGCCCCAGCCCCGGCCACCTGCGGCCCCGCTTCAGACTTGCGGGGCGGCGCGATCTGTGTCGGGGGAGGGGCGGACGCCCCTCCCCGGCCCTCCTCTTCTGGGGGAGGCGGGCGCCTCCCCCTGCTGCTTCTCCTCCTAGGGGGGGAGTGGGTGCTCCCCCCATCCTCATCCCGTGTTGGAGGCGGTGGGCCTGGTATGTAATATCTTCACGGTCCACCGCCCCACCTACCTCCTTTAGGGCGATGACCGACTCGCAGTAGTCCGCCACCGCCCTCCACTGACTCTCGCCGGCGAGCATAGCTTTAAGAACTGCCGCCGGCGGGAGGTCCACACCTATCTCACACCACAGGGCGTGACGGGCCCGCGCAAACGCTGGACAGTGCTCCAGGGTATGTTGCGCGGTGTCCCGCCCCTCCCCGTAGTGATGGCACGCTGCCGTTTCCTCCGCCCCGATCCGGTGCAGGTACTCACCGAAACAACCATGTCCGGTGAGTACCTGGGTGATCCGGAATGACATCATCCCGTAGCCGCGGTCCCGCCATTTCTTTAGGACTGGCAGGACCGCTCCGACTGCTCGCTGGGCAGTGGCGCCGCTCTCCACTAACTCGCGACGCCACCGACCCAGGGCTATTTGCCGGGACCGGCGCTTCACTCTTGCGATTATTTCGGCCGTCTCTTCTGGCGGGGTCCCGTCCAGATGAAGGGCACGCAGACGCCAGAAGACTTTGGCGTCACCCTCCGCCTGGAACTTGAAAGGGACTACCCCCGCCAGCGTCATCGCCGCCTCATAGGAGACCGTGCGGTACCCCCTTATGGCTATTCGCCTCTCTACCCGGCGCAGGGTTTGCTGGCTGCACCTCGATGCCATCAGGGCGTCGGCCCAGATGGGCGAGCCGTATAAGGCCATACTCCGCACGATCCCCACGTATAGGCGGCGAACCTTCTCCTTGGGCCCCCCGATGTCGGCAGTAAACGGCACAGGGCATTACTTGCCCTGTCCAACCGGGCAGCCAGACGGCCGAAGTGCTCCTTGAAACGCCAGTGGCTGTCCAGGTGGAGGCCCAAATATTTGTGGCTTTTGCCCACCTGGACGTCGACATCTGCTACCCGGATTACCAACTGGGGCGGTGGCGCAACCCCACGCTGAGGCGAGTAAAACCACATCGCCTCGGTTTTGTGGAGTGCTATCTGAAGCCCCAGTCGCCGGATCGCTGCGGCGACGGCAGCTACTCCAATCTCAGCTAAGCGGCTAGTCCTATCCCACTTCCGACCGATGGCGAGCAGGTACGTATCGTCAGTAAAGCACCTGACGCTCACCCCGGTCGGGAATGTAACCCGCAGAGCCGGGTCGTACCCCAAAATCCAAAGGTCGGGACCCGAAGCCAAACCCTGGGGTACGCCGTGGTCAACGTCCCTCTCATACTCTGTGCTATCCCGGCCTGTATCGGTGTATCACCTCCCCGCCTATCCTGGATAACCAGGTAGGTTCGTGGGTCCTACATCAACCCAATCTTTTTTTTTTTTTTTTTTATTATACGTGGAGGAAATCTTCCTAAGACACCTCCCGCCCCCCTGGGGAGG